GTAGTGTGTAGGGTTTTGTCAAAGGGAGGTTTATTCAAAATAGCTTGAAGAACAGGAAGGTACTGAATCTTAAGCAGGGGAAAAGGGCAAGGCAGCTTTGTGTAATTTATATCTCCAGAACTCCTCTGGTTATCTTGTTTTCCCTTCCTATTCATTATAAAGCAGAATTGCAATACTGTCAAAGAGATAATAGGCACATATATACACGCACAAACATACACAAAGCATTGAGGAGGCAAAACATACATCAAATTATATCCAGCAATTATGAAAGTCATCTGTGTCAGGGCATCAGAAATAAAAAAGCTCAAAGTGACAGGTGTGATTCTGATTTAAGGTTATTGTTCTTCAATTAAGGTGACAACGTAACTCAGCAAGACTCTTTGCGATACAGTAGATACCAAGCATAAACAGGTTGAAGGACATATCTGAGGTTTGTTTTCAAACCCCAAGTTATTATTTGGCCTAATGGAGCATAAGCAGACCGTCAGAATGAGGAAAACACACTTATTTTAGAGAAGTTTATTATTACGAACCCCCTCCCTCGAAGGAAGTTTGATCAGGAAACATTTCTTTCTTTTACAGGTGGGCCTCGGCTTACGACCACAATCGGGACAGGGAATCTCCATTGCTAAACAAGACAGCTGTTAAGTGAGTCACATCAGATTTTATCATCTTTTTGCTAAGCGAATTGCCGCTTTCCTAAATGAGTTATGCAATTGTTAAAAGTGAATCCAGCTTTCCCCGTTGACTTTTCGCTTACAGATTTATTTATTTTTATTTTTTATGAATCATATTTCTATGCCACCCACTCTCCGAGGACGCTGGGCGGCTTACACCAAAGACAGTATACTAAATAGCATATTGCCCCCTAACAATCTGGGTCCTCATTTTACCCACCTCGGAAGGATGGAAGGCTGAGTCAACCTTGAGCCGCTGAGATTTGATCCGCTGATCTGCTGAACTAACAGCCAGCTGAAGTAGCTGCAGTACTGCACTCTAACCACTGCGCCACCTCGGCTCTTACATCTGTTAATTTACAGATTAACAGAGTTGGAAGGGATCTTGTAGGTCACCCACTCTAACTCCCTGCCCAAGCAGGAGATCCTACACCATTTCTGACCAATGGCAGTCCAGTCTCTTGTGATTTGTGAGGATCAACCGTGTCTTCCTTTAACATAGTCTTAACATTGGCCAACGTTAATGATAATGACAACGATAAACTCTATAAAAGTAGCATCGGGTATGGAATGTTTATTCAAGCAGTATAATTAGTCAGATTAACAAGAGTTGGAAGGGACCTTGTCGGTCATATAGTCCAACCCCCTGCCTAAACAGGAGACCTTACACCATTTCTGACAGATGGCAGTCCAGACTTTTCTTGAAAGCGTCCAGGGATGAAGCTCCCACAACTTCTGAAGGCAACTTTGTTCCATGGGTTGATTGTTCTCACTGTCAGAAAATTCCTCCTTATTTCCAGGTTGAATTTCTCCTTGTTCAGTTTCCATCCATTGTTCCTTGTCTGGTCTTCAGGTGCTTTGGAAAATAGCTTGACCCCCTTCCTCTCTGTGGCAGCCCCTCAAATATTGGAACACAGCTCTCATGTCTCCCCTGGTCCTTCTCTTCACTAGACTAACCATGCCCAGTTCCTGCAACCGTTCATCGTATGTTTTAGTCTCCAGTCCCCTCATCATCTTGGTTGCTCTTCTCTGCACTCTTTCCAGAGTCTCAACATCTTTTTTTATAGTGTGTTGACCAAAACTGGAATGCGGGATTCTAGGTGTGGCCTTACTAAGACTTTATAGAGTGGTATTAATACCTCACTTGATCTTGATTGTATCCCTCTGTTAATGCAATTTAGGATTGCATTGGCTTTTTTGGCTGCCGCCACACACTGCTGGCTCATATTTAAGTGGTTGTCCACAAAGACTCCCAGATCCCTCTCAGAGTCACTATTAAGCCTGGTTTCACCCAGGCTTAAAGTATCTGTACTTTTGGTTTTTCTCAGAAGCTGGCTGGGAAAGGCACATATGGTGATCCCATGACCCAGGAAGGCTGCAAACCATTGTAAATACATGCCAAGCGCCCGAATTTTGATCTTCGGACCACGAGGATACTATGACGGTCGTGAGTGCAAGGACTGGACATAAGTCACTGTTTTCAGTGCCATTGTAACTTCGGGTGTTCACTAAGTGATTGGTCTAAGTTAAGAACTGCATGTAGCTGTCCCAGTATATGCCAAAGGGTAGGTTATATATACATTTTTTCAGAAAGTGGAAGTCCACCACGGAAGGAGTTTTATTTCATACATTTATAGTCAATCAAAAGGGAAAGGAAATAATGCATTTGGAAGGGGAAAGGGAAGGAGAGACAGAAATGCTGGTATAGATTATGAGTAAGAAAAGGGTTGTTGGTTTTTTTAAAAAGAAACCAACAGTTTAATTTTGGCTGGACTATGTCTTCAACAGCCAAGTGTCATGGAGAAGGCATCAAAATAAGAGCCTTGGTAGTACAGTGGTCTAAAGCACTCTGTTATTAAGACCAGCTGTCTGCAATTACTGTAAGATCGAATCTCGCCAGGCTCAAGGTTGACTCAGCCTTCCATCCTTTCTAAGGTAGGTAAAATGAGGACCCAGTTTGTGGGGGCAATAAGCTGACTTTGTATAAATATACAAAAGGATGAAGGCTATTGCTTAACACACTGTAAGCTGCCCTGAGTCTCCGGAGAAGGACAGCATATAAATCAAATTAAAAAAAAAATGTCCCTTGCTATAGGATTAAAATGTTTACAAAGGTCTCACTGGTTATCTTCAGAAATAAAACCTTTGCTCGTTTAATGTCTGTGGAGATTCAGTCATCCCAAAGGTGCTTTTTTCAAGAGGCAACTGGACTTTCTGGTTTTTCTTTGAAGACGTTTCGCTTCTCCTCCCAGAAGCTTCTTCAGCTCTCCCGCTTGCTTTCCTTCTTCGCGCCCAGACCTAACGCCTCAGCTTACTCTGCGGCTGGCCAAATTCCACCCCGGGGGCACCGATTCCACCCCAAAACTTTCAGACAGCCATTGGTCTAACTAACATGGTTGAGGGTTCCCCTGCTTGAGCAGGGATGGGGGTTGGACTAGATGACCTCTCAGGTCCCTCCCCTCCCCTCCTTCCTTCCTCTCTCTCTCTCTCTCTTTGTATCTCCTTCCCTCCTTCCTTCTTCTTTCTCTCTCTCCCTCTCTCTCTCTCTCGTCTTTCCCTCCCCCCTTCCTTTTTCTGTCTCTCTGTCTATCTTCTTTCCCTCCCCTCCCCCCTTCCTTTTTCTTTCTTTCTCTCTCTCCTTTCCCTCCCCTCCTTCCTTCCTCTTCCTCTCTATCTTCTTTCCCTCCCCTCCTCCTTTCCTTCCTCTCTTCTTTCCCTCCCCTCCCCTCCCCCCTTCCTTTTTCTTTCTTTCTCTCTCTCCTTTCCCTCCCCTCCTTCCTTCCTCTCTCCTTTCCCTCCCCCCCCCCCCCTCTAACCCTCTTCTTTCTCTCTCTCTCAGGGAAAGAAAAGTCCTTCCTTTCTTCTAGGCTCCTTTCTTCTTCTTTCCTCCCCTCTCCCTCCCCTTTCTTTCTACTTCCCTTCCCCCTCCTCCTTTCCCCTCCTTTCCTCTCTATCTCCTCCTCCTTTTCCCCCCCCTTCTTAAGGAGTTTCTCTCTCTCCCCTCCCCTCCCACCAGGGAGAGGACTTTCTCTTTCTTTCGAAGGAACCCTTCCTCAATTCCTTTCTCTCTTCCTTCCTTCCTTCTCTTTCCTTTCTCTCTTTGTCCTTTTCTTTCTTTCTCTCCTTCCTCCCTGCCTTTCTCTCTCTCTCTCTCTCTCCTTTTCCTTCCCTTTTCCTTTTTCTTTCTTTCTCTTCTTTCCTCTCCTCCTTCCTTCCTCCTTCCCCTTCCTTCTTTTCTTCCTTCCTTCCTCCTTTCTTCTTCCTTTTCTTCCTTCCTTTTTCTTTCCTCCTTTCCTCCCTTCCTTTCTCTCTCTCTCTCTCTCTCTCTCTTTTTCCTTCCTTTCTTCCTTTTTCTTTCCCTCTCTTTCTCTTCTTTCCTCTCCTCCTTCCTTCCTCCCTCCCCTTCCTTCTTTTTCCTTCCTTCTTCCTCTTTCTCTTCTTTTCCTTCCTTCCTTTTTCTTTCCTCCTTTCCTCCCTTCCTTTCTCTCTCTCTCTCTTCCCTTTTCCTTCCTTTCTTCCTTTTTCTTTCTTTCTCTTCTTTCCCTCTCCTCCTTCCTTCCTCCCTCCCCTTCCTTCTTTCCTTCCTTCCTTCCTCTTCTCTTCTTTTCCTTCCTTCCTTTTTCTTTCCTCCTTTCCTCCCTTCCTTTCTCTCTCTCTCTCTCTCCCTCTCTCCTTTTCTTCCTTTCTTCCTTTTTCTTTCTTTCTCTTCTTTCCCTCCCCTCCTTCCTCCCTCCCTCCCCTTCCTTCTTTCCTTCCTTCCTTCCTCTTTCTCTTCTTTTCCTTCCTTCCTTTTTCTTTCTTCTATTCCTCCCTTCCTTTCTCTCTCTCTCTCTCTCTCTTTTCCTTCCTTTCTTCCTTTTTTCTTTCCCTCTCTTTCTCTTCTTTCCCTGTCCTCCTTCCTTTCTCTCCTTCCTTCGTGTTGCTCCAGGGCAAGGCTTTTTGCTGGGCGTCGGGCGCCCTTGCAGTCCGGTGCGATCTCCCCCCATCCCCGGGGGGAAGCGGCGAATTGAGTCGTGCAAAGCGCGGCCGCGCGTAAAGCGAACAAGCCCAAGGGAGGAGGGAGGACCCATCCCCGGCTGTTCCCTCCCGACCCCTCCATGGGAGCAGAGCCAGCGCTGCCCTCCCGCTTCTCCTCCTTGCCTTCCAAGCGGCCGTGCAGCACCCAAAGGGTTAACAAAGCAACGCGGCCGACCGCCCGCTCGCCCCGCCCCCTCCCCCTCCCTCGCTGTGACGCCGCTCGCCCCGCCCCCTCCTCCTTCTCCTCCTCCCTCCCTCCCTCCCTAGGGCTGCGCGTGACGTCGCCGCCGTCCCGTCCCGTGACGTCACGTCCGGGAGGCGGAGCCGAGCGCCAGGAGCTGCGGTTTCCGGCTGAGGCGCGGGACCGGAAGGGAAAGTATGAGTTGGTGAGTGGGGGGTCCCGGTGGGCGCCTCTTCCGTCGCCAGGGAGAAGCGCGCGCGGGGGGGGGAGGGGCAGGCGGGCTGTGAGGGGTGTGTGTCGGAATAATGGCGGCCTCCTTGTTTCTGCTTCCAGTGGGGGAGGCTGAGGGAAGCTGTGTGCGGGGGGGGGGGTTGCTAACTGGGGTCGGAGGCCCTGGAAGGGAGGGAGGGAGCAGGGCGGCCTAAGCGGCTGCAGGGAGCTGTGGGGGTGGGTGGGTGGAAAGAGGGGCTTTCGGACGTCCCCGCAGCAGGATTTGCCGTTTTGGTTGCCCCTGTTGCTGCTGCTGCTGCTGCTGCCGTCGTTGTTGTTGTTTTAATACAGTGTTGGAAGGGGACCTTGGAGGTCATCTAGCCCAACCCCCCCACCCGCCCTGCCCACGCAGGAGGCCTGTCCTAGGGATTCGAACTGCCGAGCTTTCTGATGGACGAGCTCAGTGTCTTGGTCTCTGTTTCTGTTTCTGTCCTAGTCTCTCTTTCTTCCTCCCTTTTTCTCTCTCACCCTCCTTTCTCTCTCCCCCTCCCTCTTTCTCCCTCTCTTTCTCCCTCTTTCAGTGGGAGAGGAGCTCTCGCTCTGGGGAGCCCTTCTGGGGGGTGAAAGAGGGAGGGAGAGGAGCCTCCCCTCCCTCCTCCCTCTTCTCCTCCCTCTTCCTTCGGGAGAAAACCCCGAGCCTTTTCTCTTCTGGGGGAAAGAGGGATTCTGGACTCCCCCCCTCCCCCTTTCTCCCCTCCCTCCCTCTCTCTCTCCCTCCCTCCTTCTTTCTCCCTCTTTCTCCCTTCCCTCTTTCTCTCCCTCCCTCCTTCTTTTTCTCTCCTCTCTCTCCCCCTCCCTCTTTCTCCCTCTCTTTCTCCCTCTTTCTCTCTCCCCCTCCCTCTTTCTCCCTCCCTCTCCCTCCCTCTTTCTCTCTCCCCCTCCCCCTTTCTCCCCTCCCTCCCTCTTTCTCTGTCTTTCTCCCTCCCCCTCTTTCTCTCCCTCCCTCCCTCCCTCTTTTTTCTCCTCCCTCTTTCTCCCTCCCCTCTTTCTCTCCCCCTGCCTCCCTCTTTCTCTCTCTCTCTCTCTCTCTCCCCCGCCCTCTTTCTCCTTCCCTCTCTCTCCCTCCCTCTTTCTCTCTCCTTCCCTCCCTCTCTCTCTATCACACACACATACACTTTTGGGGGGGTCTACTTTTACACGTGAAAAGCACGTGAAAAAATGCAAGTAGAAAAATAGGGACCACCTTTGCTGGGAAGAGAACAGCGTTCCGTGCGCCTTTGGTGTTTAGTCATGCCAGCCACTTGACCACGGAGCATCTTCGGACAGCACTGGCTCTTCAGCTTTGGAACGGAGATGAGCACCGCCCCCTAGAGTCAGGAACAACTAGCACATATGTGCGAGGGAAACCTTTACCTTTACTCTTAAATCAGGTTCTCCATCCTGTTACGCACCATTTGGCCTTGTGTGACCTGACTTTGTGTGTGTAGGCTAAAACATTGTTGCATGTTGTGCAGTGGTGCAAAGAACAACAAGCCTGCGGTTCCTCCCTCTCCTCTTGACATGCACAAATATTTATACACCGGCGGGGTGGAAGAATCGCACCCCGCGTGCGTGCATTCGTTCATGGCATGCAGAAGTTTTTTAGGGATTGAGGGGGGAAAAAAGTCTGTAGAGATTCTCAGTCATCCAGGTCGTGGTTGTCCCGAAGGTCCTTTTTTTTTTTTTTTTTTTCTTCAAGAGGCAACTGAAGTTTCTGGTTTTTTTTCTTTTGAAGACTTTTCGCTTCTCATCCAAGAAGCTTCTTCAGCTCTGACTGAATGGTGGGGGATGGAAGGATTTATGTTCCTTGCAGACAGCTGGTCATTTGCATCCTTTTAGAGGGTCATTGAGGCACTTGGAGGTTTACCTGTGACCTCAGGGTCACCTGAGTGGTGCTCCTGGTTCCTGTAATCTGCATTTTTTTTTCCTCTGGAAATCTGTTCCTACTCCCACACCATTCAAAGGGTGTTCATCCCAAATTATATAGCTAAAAGTCTAGGGATTCTCAGTCATCCAGGTTATGGTTGTCTCAAAGGTGCTTTTTTCAGGAGACATCTGGACTTTCTTGTTTTTTTTTACTTTTGAAGACGTTTCGCTTCTCATCCGAGAAGCTTCTTCAGCTCTGATTGAGAAGTTGGTGCTTCTGCAGGCTTGTTGTTTCCCAGGCATTGGGAATTCATCTCCGGAGAAGATGGAATTGCTCATGGTCTGGATGCTCCATTTTCTAGGTTCACGTTGGGTGGGCTCCCCCAGAAGGTGCAAGCATGGAGTTAGGAGGTGCTTCTGAATCCATCTCTCTCGGGGGTTTCCCAGACTATGCTTTTTCTAATCTTCTATCATCTTAGACTGATAGATTACCTATATATTTGGATGAATAATTTTAAAACCATGCCATTGATACAATCTGCCTTGCTTCCTGAGATGCCATTTATATGAGTAGCCTTTGCATCTAAACACCTTGGTTAGTAAAGAATTCAACTGCCATGATGGTTTCTGGATAAATATTACGTCTGTGACATTTCACGAAATGTCACCTTGTTTCTGGGGTCGTATAAACCATTGCTGATTCTTATCTTTAAACCCCTGCGTGGCCTAGGCCTGAATTATCCAAGCAGCTTCTTCTGTTTGATGTTGCTCCTAAGGCCGTGATGGTGAATCCATGGCACATATGCCAGAGGTGGCACGCAGCGCCCTCTCCGATGGCATGCAAGCCGTCGCCCCAGTTCAGCTCCGCTGCACACAGGGGTGAAATGCTCCCGGTTCAGACCGGATCGCCCGATCCGGTAGTGATGGCGGTGGGTGGTTCGGAGAACCGGTAGTTTTGTGTTCGCTTTAGTTGTTTGAGCAGTGTATAAACTACTGTATGTAAAGAGCAAAGTATTTAATTAGGCGATTTCATTCATTCAGATCTCGGATGTCTTCTGCTTTTCTTCCCTTTATTTTTTTGAGCAGTATATATCCTCTTTTTAACAATCGTTTCTTCGTGGTCTGCTTTCCACTGTAATTTCAGTTTCGGTTTCAGTTTTATTAAATTTTTATACCGCCCTTCACCCAAAGGGACTCAGGGCGGTGTACAGCCAAGATAAAACCAACAATACAAAAGTTAAAAACAATTTAAAATTATTAAATAGTTTGGCCGATTCCCCCGCCCCCCAATGTCATTGTTTCATTTCCTTCATTGTCTCTTTTTTGACCAATCAAAAGATGTTGATGCTGCTCTTGCATTATAATATTTCATTTCACTCTTTCAGGATGATTATTTTTTCCCCCTCCATACAGCAATCTTTCATGCGAAGAAATACAAGATAATTATGTTACTGGATCCATATATCATGCTAAAAATAAGTTTGTCTAATCATGGTTTATTGCAGGGGTCCCCAATCCCCCGGTCTGCGGCATGGCAAAAAATTGGGTCACACGAACAAAGTGATAACACATCCACAAAATGCAAGCAGAATGTGAAACCACATCCCCTCTGGTCTGTGGAAAAACCTCTCTCTACGGAACTGGTTCCTGTGTCCAACTGGTTGGGGGCCACTGGTTTATTGTAAATTATCTGGGCCTTTATCAAAATGAAGCAAACCCTATGATGACTTAGTATAGTGTGAACCTAGTCTTCCCTAACTTACCATACTTTTTCGAGTATAAGACACACTCCCCCAAAGAGGGTGGAAATGTCAGTGTGTCTTATACACCGAATACAGCCATTTTTTGCCTCCCAAAACCCCACCATTTTCGTGAAAAACAGGCCCATTTTTCAGAAAAATGGGTTGTGCAGGGGCCTGCAGAGTGCTCCTGGGGGCTGGGGAGGGCAAAAACGGGATGTGTGGAAGGTTTGGGAGGCAAAAAAACCCAGGACCATTTTTCGCAAAAATGGGATGCACAGAGGGTTTGGATGGCTTGCAGAGTGCTCCTGGGGGCCGGCGAGGGCAAAATATTTTTTCTCCCCCTTCTTTTCCTCTTCAAAATCTTGGTGCGTCTTATACTCCGGTGCATCTTATAGTCTGAAAAATACGGTAGTTATTTGACATTTGGAGGAATAATTGCTGTAATCATGGTTTGCATATAATCCTAAACTCAGGAACATTGTTTTAATTCTATTAAAATCAACTACAATTGCTATTGGTATGGATTTATTTATTTATTGGTTCGATTTATATGCCGCCCTTCTCCGGAGACTCAGGGCAGCTTACAATGCGTTAAGCAATAGCCTTCATACTTTTGTATATACCTGCTTAGTAGGGCTTTGCCCCCCCCCCCCAGCGGTGTTCTTTTTATATACAAAGTCAGCTTATTGCCCCTACAATCCGGGTCCTCATTTTACCTACCTCGGAAGGATGGAAGGCTGAGTCAACCTTGAGCCTGATGAGATTCAAACTTGCAGTAATTGCAGGCAGCTAAGTGCTATTTAACAGCGCTTTAGTCCACTGCTCCACCAGGCTCCTGGTACGTGCATCCCACTCATTATTGCATATTTTACACTAACCATCTCAGGCATGGGAAAACAGCCAGACTCCGTGAGAAATGTTTAGATACAACTCCCATGGAGTCTCCAAATTGGGATGCTCTCTGGACTAATGAAACTTTGAACTCCAAAAGGCCAAGCCCTCAATGTCTTGATCACTGAATTTTATCCAGAAATATTTTTGCTTGTATTTCCTTCCTTTCCAGACCCAACCTTATAAGAAGTATGGTCATTGCTTTCAATAAATCATAATATATATTTTTCTCTATACAGTATTAGACCTATCCTTAAATCTTTCTGCAGAGAATTGAAGAGATCAGGCTCCCAAGCAATCTGATCCCCAGATTACCTTGCATCAGAAGTGGGTTTCAGCAGGTTCTGACCAGTTCTGGAGAACCGGTAGCGGAAATTTTGAGTAGTTCGGAGAACCGGTAAATACCACCTCTGACTGACCCCGCCCCCATCTATTCTCTGCCTCCCGAGTCCCAGCT